TTTCCATGTTAGTTTTATAACTTAATCTTTCCACCCAAATACATTGTTATCTGCAAAAGTGCCTGCAGGATGTAAACTTGAAGCTACAGGGAGTCTATGCATTGTTTACTGGTATTCATACCTGCTAAGCTATTGTTCTGCGAGGTGTGTCTTTAAGCAAAAAGCAAAGCTGAGCATTTACAGGAAGGCACTTTTACAATGGCTGTCATTTGTTTTGAAGATTAACGTTGTTTATATGACTGTCAGGAACTGCAGAAGATATAATACCTGTACACAAGTCGAAATACAAGGCTTGTTCCTCTTTAGTCAGCTCCTTGCTACCAGGCTGCTTAAGTCACATGGGTTTCATGCGGTGAAGGGCACATAGAAACTCTCATACCGGATTATATCAGGATTTCATAACTTGAGTGACCAGGGTAGGCTTATCTTCTGCTTTTTTCTTGGAAGGTCACTTTTGCCATCTCTAAAATTCTGTCCATAAAAAGATGTTTCCAGTTGCCTGTTTTGAAAGTGTTTCCTTTTATTTCCATTCATCCTAAATAATAGAAAGCTGTAGGATCTGATCATGTGCTGCCTCTTCTTTTCTAGTTAATTATTCTGTTCATCAGAGGTAGTGTGTCACTAGAATATAGGACACCAGATTGACAATTAGGAGGCCTAGTTTGGATTCCTCACTGTACAGGCAAATGATGTGTTGTGAACTACTTTGTCTCTCCCAGCTTTTTTCTTACTTTGTCATGTCTATTTGGATGAAGACAAAAGCTTTATTCCCAGGTTTTTGTACAGTGTGGCAGATAGCAAGATTGTGATATTTTCTGAGACTTTTAACAATTTTAAATTAGTGGTTCTCTTGATCAGAAATTCTTTTTTGTTCCTCTGTCTTTGCTTTTTTAGAAGTTTTGAGACCTGGCTTTAATGTATGACTTGTGGTTTTGCACTGGTGTTCAGGCCCACTCATTTTCATGACCATTTCCTTAAACTGCAAGTAAGAGAAACTATAAAACTGTTAAGACATCATCTGAAAATAAATAGCTATACAAATTGATTTCTGAGGGGCTTTTTTCTCCATATAACTTCTGAAGCTGAACAAAATATTACAATCCCTTTAACTATCTGAAATGTCTTGGTAATATCAAATTTATACTTGATCCTGAACAGGGAGTTCCCAGTGGCAGTTTCCCTTTTTGAAAAAGTGCTCTAGATATTTCTTCCTGGACAGTACTTCAAAGACAGCAGCAGTGGTTAACTGTGTAAAAAGAGCACTAGAAGCATGGCCAGGTTTTTGTTTGCTTTGAGAATCTAGTCTTTGGTAGAAAGAAAAAAGTATATATTATGTTTCCTTCTAATGCTGAAGAGAGGAAAATCATCTAAGAATTATTTCATTAGATCATCCTGGAGACCCAGCAGGGGAGGCCTGGGAGGGGGGCTGCGCTGAGTCCTTCTATCAAACACAAACCCTTAGTAGGAAAGTAGATGAGCCTTGCACAGTGCTGTGAGGATCAGCTAACTACACCCTGTGTTAAACCAAGCAAATTGCAAAGGGGAATTTCCATTGCGAAGGTTTCCGCCGCTTCTCGGGCGTTCACGGCCAGAGACTGGTGCAGACGCTTCTGCTAACAATCAACCACTGTGGTAGCACGAAGACTGAAAAACTTCCAGAGACTGCCTGGCCTAATTGAGAAAAGATCCATTAGTTGTACGCCTTCCAGCACCGAAGGCACTGAGCTATAAATTGTTTCTTCATCTTTCTCAGCAACTTTACATATACACGTTGAGCAGATGTGAGGTACTGGAGCTCTTCCTCGGCTCTTCAGTGGACTTGTTGCATTTCCACAGCAGAGTTTATATCTGCTATATATGAATATCCAATATGTATCAAGTTGGCCGGTGAAAATAAAGAGCTATGGGGTCTGGCTTCAGAGAGGGGAGCTGTTGAGGGCGTTTTTGCTGGGTTTTGTTCAGTTCTTCCTTAAATTAAAACAACTACAATCACTGTTTTCCATTTGAAATCTGAATTGGAAGATGTCAAGAGAACTGGAATCTTAACTCACAAATCCTTAAGATGGTAATTCAAAAAATCAGTATTTCAAGACCAATAATTATCATGTTACTGTTAGAATTTTTGGGTAGGTGTCAGTAAGGGTTTTACTCCATAAGTTCTTGTTGCAAGGAGCAGGGTAAGCAGGGACAGGATCTGTCTTTTCAAGAAATCTTCAGTATAGGGTAGCAGTTCAAGGTGGCATTGGGATTCTCACCTGCCACGTGTACACATGGTTTCTACACCATGTACACCCTTCTCCTTCATATCCTTGGAATACAGGACTCTCTATCCTAAGACAGGATATAATAGGTTTTTTTAATTATGATTCACTGACTCCATATATGCCAGCAGACATCCTTAGTATGCTGCTGGGAAGAAATGGCAAAAAGTTGGAATAGGAAGAGACAACCCTTGGAACAAAAGCCTCACAGTCGCACTGCCTCAGCTGTGGGGAGTGTAACACAGCCAGAGCAGCAACACGTACAGCAGTAAATTGAAGAGCTGGGGCAGGAAGAGGGATGTTCCCAGACACTGGAGCTTGAAAATCCATACTGCTAAGTTAGAATAGCCCCTGGCATTGTTGGCACAACCTGAAACACACTTTCCCAAATGATTTCTGGATGTGGTTTGCGAGTTAACACAAACCAAGGGCCTGGGGACAATAGGTATTTTGCTTGTAGTGATTGTGTTTGGGTGGGTAGGAGTTGAATGGTATAGACCAGAAAACAATCCCAGTTGCATTTAATTTGTATAAATAAAGGCAGTGGGGCTAGGTATTGTTCCATGTCTGGTTTTGATACCATATAACTATACCAGTATCAGAACTCAATAGGGTTTTTTAAATATCTTTTACTCAATATGACCATTCAAGTATTATTGTTGAAATCTGAAGTTAATTATTTTCCTTACTTTTTAAATTGATAAAGTTCAGGTGTAGCACTATATTTGAAAAATTATAATAAAGTTCTGTCTGAATGACCTTGCCTGAAAATAAGACAAATGTGATGGTATTTCTGTTCTTTCTGGGTCCATGTTTGTACTAAATATAAATATTTTCATTCTGTTAGTTGTATAACAGACAGAAGCTTGATACCATTTCACTTGTCTTGTATATCTTGTAAACAGAAAGTGTCTGTTTTGAATTCCTTGAACTCCAAACTGCTGTGTGAACAGTATCTAGAAAGATGTGAGTTGTGTCATAAAAATATTGTCATAAAAATAGTAAGAATAACAGAATGATGTCTTCAGGTATTTCATGATTATCCTTTCATGATGATAAAATCTTAAGAGTATTGCCACAGCTATAGTTCTGTTAGGAAGATTCTGGGAAAAGAAGGTCTAGAATCTGCAAAAACTTTCTCCTTTATGGAAATACAGGGCTTGTATTCAATTTCTTTTTAAAAGAAAAAGAAAATATTCATTACCAAATAGTTCCTGAGGGTTAGCAGCTGGTGTATTTTTTATTGAAGAGAGAGAGAAGAAAGGATTAGCACACTGTGTTACTTGACTATTAAACAACCAGGCCCATACAGCAGATTCTAGAATACGTGTTCAGAGGAGGTTATTTCCATACATACAAAGGGGGTTTTGTTCAACAAACTTGCTGTGTCTTCAATTCAGATAACGATTCTACCTGAAGAAGCCACCAAGTCAGTGAAGCTCAGAGGGCTGTCTTTCAAACTCACTTAACGTTGTTCAGAAGTTAATTGCAGCATCCATGTTTTGGAACACTGCTATTTATTCTACATGTGTTTGAGACATCTTAAAGGGTGTGATTCTGAGGAGTGAATAACTACTGAATTTATACCAGCATGCCAGCTTTTTTCTTTTTTCAGTGCTCATAACACGACAAAAGTAACTTTGGAATATTGATTTAGCGGGGTAGAAGGAGAGTTATTGTCTTTGACCAGAAAGAGGGAAACTGAAGCTTTCCCATGAGTAGGGAGAACTCAGACTTTGTGGGTGATTTTCCTTTTTGGAGTGGGCAAAAGCATCTTCTTTTCTTCACCCCCCCCGACTTTGGGCAAATTTGTATCTGAATTCCTACTTCATGGCTTAACTTATTTTCTACTTTTTGCAAAGACTTGAAACTTTTCTATTTAATGGTGTAGCTGTTTTCTTGCACTATGAAACCAACAGTCACAATTTCTACTGCTTCTTCAGTTTATAGAATTTGCTGGGTATGACAGTGGTGATGCTTAGAGCTGCTGCATTTCAGATTCTGGTTGTTTCAGCCAATAATTGTATTTAACGGCCGAAGCAGCTGCAGGGGATTTTTTTTTTTTTTTCTCCTATTTAAATAAGGTCATAATTTTCATTTTCTTTTTGAAAGAACTAGCACTTTGCACAAGAAAATGAAGCACTTTCAAACTTAAAAACAAAAAAACCCACACAAACAACTAATTTCCCTAAATGCTATGTGTAACTTAGATGAATAAAGTGCTTAGTTGTCCCCTAATCAGATATCTAGTGAATTTATTTCTTTTTTTCCCTTTCCCAGCATTATTTTTATTCAACACGGGATGGGGAGGGAAGAACTCAAATACTGAACCATTGTCAGGAAGTTTGTGTTATTGTCTGACTTTTAAAGCACTTAGTGGCTAAAGGTTTTTCTCTCATTCTTATTTCACCATCACTTACCATAAAAGAAGGATCTGTGCAAACTTTGATCACATACTTGACATCCTTTTATATTATAAACAGCCAGATTCCTTTTTACCCCTATTGAAATAGTTTACCTTTTTTTTCCTGTTTGCTGATCTTAATGCTCAGTTTCTTCTGCCTTCCATCCTTTGCTCTCCTTCCTCCTGTCTTCTATTTTTCATCCATCCACAGATTTTTCAGATGTATGCTGTACATATGAAACACAAAACTAGACCTAAGTGACACTGAGATAAATATTTTCAACCGTTGTTGAATTGCATTAGTCATAACACAAATTTTGTTTTCTGTTCACTAGAATGTTATGGAACAGTTCAATCCAGGACTGAGGAATTTAATAAATCTGGGGAAGAATTATGAAAAAGCTGTTAATGGTAAGTCTTCTAGGTGCTAACTGTAGAAAGAATGTTTAATTTTCATTTAAATATACATATTGGCTGGGAGGGTTATGCATAAGCTTAATTTCCAAGTTGCACTTTGGATGTGTTTAACTGGAGGGGGGGAAGGCACAAACACTCAAACATATGTACTTCTCCCCCCATCCTCTTTCTGTTTTTTTGCTGTCCTGCGGAAGTTGCATCTCAAACACTTAAGCACAGAGCTCCTGCAAATTAAACTGAAAATAAATTGTAAATAACCCACAAGAGAATAATAATATAAATGGGGAAAAAAAAACAAAACAAACAACAAGTTGTGTAAATTGGATGTTCTCTTTTTTCCCTGGATATACCTTCCAAAAATATTGCCCATTCTTAGATCTGCTTCTGCTCACCTATACACATCACTACTTAAGTAACCCTGTGAACAGAACAACTTGCGTGAGTAAGAGCTGCAGGAGTGGATTATTTCTCTTATCTGTACTAAACCTGATGGTATCTCTTCCACGGAGTCAAAACTGTAATGAATAAATGTGAATCTAAGGACCCAGTCTCAAACTGTTCATATGGAGTTGTTTACTCCCACCATTGGCTTCACAAGCTGTCTATCTAAGAATGAGTTTCCAAGACTGGGCTCTAGATTCCCAAAGCTTATATTGTAGGACCTGTTAGAGCTTGCTCTTTCACCTATGCAGACCTGCTGGGCTGCTTGATATCACATTAAAGCAATGTAAAATCTCTCTAATTTTGCCTTATTCAAGTCTGTGGCATATCTTACCCCTGTGTGTAATCTAGTACTCTGAGAAATGGGATACTGCACAAGTAGTGCATAGCCAAATAGACACTGAAATCTCTCTTCATGCAAATTTTAGACCAGGCTCAAAGATAAAACCAAAGCCTGCTGGAGATGAAAATAGGGAAATGCTGATTTATTTGCAGTAATGCCTAACCTGATGGATTAACATTGTGGTTTCGTAATACCTAACCTTGGGGATTTACAGGTAGTAGCAGAAGTAATAACAGGTGTTTTCATGTTTGGCTGAAAGGTTTTTATACTGGTTTCTGAGGGTATATAATACTTTATTGTTGATCTGTTACATTGTGCCTCTTCTCTTTTAATTCTATTTGTCATTGGCAATTCACAACGTAACCGTGCACAGCAACACTACAGAGGCTGATAGCGATTGTGTTCTGGCAAGTTTGTCACTTAAGACTGGCTGATAAAGCATATCTAGCATGAATGCTTAATTTCAAATTAATAAATGTTTACAGTGTTGCAACAACTGTTGAGAAACTATATTAAAGTCATCTTGGGGCTCTCATAAATTGTTAATCTTTTCTCTATAAGTTCTGAGTGTTATAAATAGGTCTGTAATGAGAAGTAAATATTCCATTGCTAAACAAATACTTCTCGGCTTTCCAAACAAGTCGGAGTAGGCTGACAAAGAACATAAAACTTACAAGAACTTCTGATAGGTTTATAATGTATTTTTATACATTTTGAGGATAAAAGGTCAAAACTCCTTTACTGCAGAAAGTAGTTGCCTAGCCATTGTACTGGTGAAGAGACTATTCAATGGAGTTCTCAGTTTAGCTTGATTAGCACAGGAGAAGTCATACATTTTTTCTTTTAGTGCCTGTATTAGGATAAAAGATTGACCTGACGATATCTTGAGAAAACATTAGATAGGAAGAGTTGGAATGGCACAAAATCTTCACGTATGGGTGGCACTGCTTCAGAAAGTTTGAATATAAAGCACCTATGAGAAGCCGATTAGACAGAAATTACTCTTGTCTAATGCAACAGAGCCTCAGAAAGAATCTTTGTTTCATCTGGAAGAGTTTCAGGCTTCTCAGTGAACATACTGTGAGGTAATCAAAGATGTCACCTTTGCTAGTAAAAACTATAAAATAACAGACCTAAAATGCTATAATTGGCAATTGCCAATTATATTCCTCTCAGAAAAAAGTATTTTAAAGTCAACAGTGAGAGTCTGCTTGGCTTCCACTTTAGGTTAAAAATGTGCTATTCATTAAGTATTTTTCACTGCCTCTTACAATAAAACCTTGCCAGTCTGTCCTTGTTATTTCTTTTCTTTGCGGTGTGCAGATCAGTTCTAGATACTGTGAAGGTGCAAAGCAGCCATTGTGTGGTTTAGATCTACATATGTAAAATGTTTCTCACTGCTGGCCTCTCTGCAGTTTGAATCTTGATGTTTCCGTGTTCATTCTAGCAAAACTGGCTTTGCTTTTTAAATCACCTATAACCAGGAAATGATTAACTGAGAATAACTGAAACCTCAGTGATATATATTAAGAGCTTATTGGTTCCTGTAAAACTGGAATTGAACTATAAACAACAGAAGAGGGGGAACTGCCCTGGGGGGGAAAAAAAAAAGGATGAGCATGAAGATGTTAACTGGGGTCTGTCTTCTTGGTTGGTAATTTTAAACCTCCCAGGTTTCTTCTTAAACTGTATATGTACCTGTTGCCTGAGGGTTTTATTGCTTAAAGTACTTGGAATACAGATTCCTCTGTCATTCTGAGTTCAGTGATGAAGATAAAAGATGCTTTTCTGGAGCATCAAAATTACTCTGTGCAGAAAATGTATGTATCAATGCTAATTTTCCATGTCAGTCCAAAAAACCAGAGATCTTCCACCGTTTAAGCTCACTAAGTTGATGAACGATGTAATTTATAATCATCTTGGGAACACTGATGGTATGTCGAAAATGGAGTAAAGAATGCCAAATGGGTTATCTCTTTTTTTTTTTTTTTTTTTAACCCCTTTTTTTTCCCCTTCTCTTCTCCCTTTCCCCCCCAGCTATGGTGGTGGCTGGAAGAGCATATTATGATAGCCTTGCAAAGATTGGGGATATATCAGCTGATTCTCCAGTTTCTAAAGAATTAGGTAAGTGAAATTTTAAAATTACTTCAAAATATGAACTTTATTTTTGTTTTCCTGCTGGCAGTTCGCAGAACTAATGTGAAGTAGAGAAGGATCAGAAAAAGTGTGGTTTACTCTTAAAAAATGCATAGATGGAAGGGATTAGATTCCATTAAGGTATATTATTTCCTTTATATGTAAAGGACATCTACAATGTTTTGACAAAATCACCTTTTTTAAGTTCACATAATTATATAATAAATAAATATGGAAAAGTGTGTAGCTTGACTTTTAATATGGAGATGAATGTTGAAATATTTCCACAACAGCATATTGATATGAGGAGTCCTAGGGTATGACAGCAGTTCTAAACTCAAACAATTTTCTAGATGAGTTCCACTGTGAAGAGTTTAGTTATACTTCACTATTTTTTATTATATTTATTTTCGAGTTGAGCTTTTGAAAGAGCCACTGTAGAGTCAAAGACGTAGTACATTCACATTAATGTAAAATGAATCCAAGTTCTGTACTTTGCTGAAAATAATTTCTGAATTTTTGAAAGATCATCATCAGGACTTAGTTTTGTACTCCCCTGCTAGCACTGAAGTGATACTGCTCGCTCTACAAAAGCAAAGTTGTCATCAAAGTATTTGTAATATTTATGACAAAAGAATCTAACATCACCACAAAACAAAGAAGTGGGAGCTATACTGTAAAGAAGAAACACTTGTTTAAAACCTTCATTTGCTTTTTGGCAAAAATAACTTGATAAAAGTGTCTTATCTCTGAACTTTTGGTGATGGGCAATGCAGGACTCATTCAATGCTGTAACGTGCATCTGCTCCCGTAACTCACAATGGTTAATTCAGCTGATTTAAAAGGATGCTTTCCCTAAATGTTTGTTAATGATTCTGCTGAAGCAGAATTGAGGGGGGAAAACTCTCCTTGAATGGTGTCTGCTGGTTTCTATGTACCTGCATACAGTTTTATGGTTTGTTCTGAAACCACTTTTGTGTGAGTGTTAACATTCTGCGTTGCAGGCTGGGAGCGGCAGAACAGCAAACAGTACAAAGCAAACAGTCCTAATGCAGTCACTTGCTGTATTTGCTTTGCAGGTTGTTTACAGGAAGGAGAGTTGCTGGTTTCAAACTATAGAACAAAAGTATGAGAAAGTTAAAAGTAATAACTATGCAGAGTCTTATAAAAAATATCAACAAATGCCTAATTACAATTTTTTGCAATCAAGCAGTTGGTCATATGCGTGGAATTAATCTGTTGAGCTTTGTATGACTGTGGGATACTGTCTGCTTGTTTGAAAATATTATAATGGGTTAGTCTTGAGCTGAATTCTGAAAATAACTGTTTTTCCCTAGTACTGGGGACAATACAGAATTGTGATTGAAAATATATTTTTGTTTAACTATGACTTCTTCCCTGCAATCATAGGCCTTTTTCTAGATATACTGTATTGAGAAAACACAGCCTTCTTCAGGGTCTGGCCCCTCACACTGCTTTCTCTTCACCTACTGAAACTGTTACTGCAAAAAAACCTTTTCTTAAGGAAATCAGCAGCTCTGGATTTCTTCCAGCATACTCTCTGACAGAATACTTACTGTAGAGATAAGGAAAGTCAATGAACATTGGAAAAGGCAGGATAAGGTGGTTAGGAGTCTGTGAGAAATTATTTGCATTTTATTGAAAAAGTTTTAATAGTTCTGAAGCTGGGCTACAATACTGATCTATTTAGCAAAGAAATATGATACACCCCAGATGTCTCTAAAAGTATCTGTGCTTAAAAAGAAAAAAAAGAATTTACTGCACCTTTTAGTCTTTTGGAACTGTTAAGGTGCATGCTGAGCAGTATCAGATGTGTAGAGACTAGATCAAGCTTTGCTGTGATCTGCTCCTTTGTGGACCCTATTAACCCGAGTGGAGTTACTGTGGAACTGTCTCTCCTGTGAGTTCTGTTCCTTTAGACTTGCCAAAAGACGTGTTAGTGACCACTACCAGCTCTATCGTGCATAATGCTTCTGTTATCTTTGCCAAAAAAGAGGTCAGTAGTCATGAGTTTGGTTTTGTGATGTGCCTGTGAATTGCTTTTCTGGACTTGAGGATTAAGTGAGCTGACACACTCGCATGTTCTATGAGAGCAACAGTCTAAAGGTGACTGGCAAAGAAGCAGAGAGCAATTTCCATAATTTTATGTGTGTGTGTTATCTGTATCCAAATCTGATGTGTGGGATGTTTCTTACTTTTCCTTTGCCTAAAATTATCTTATAAGGCCTTTTCCTGTATCCTATATTAACTGAAAACAGTAACATTCCCCCAGATGTTAGTAGGTCGTTATATTTTTAGTATTTAAGACATTATCCTGGCTCTTCACAATGAATTAGATAAACCAACAGTCATCAAGTTGTAAAGTGTTTTGGAATGCTTCAATATTTGAGCACAAACTGAGGTACTGTGGGTGGATTTCCAGTGTTTAGGTCTTTGGACAACCAGAAACTGTAAATGTTTTCATCCAGGTAATAAACATTTGAAACATCCCAAGTAAATATTGAAACTAATGCTTGAAAGTAATCTGTATAAAAACAAGTAAGTGCCTCCTGCTGCCATGGCTTACCAGTTTAACCACAATTGGGACAATTGGTTTATGGATGGCAAGACATCATAGTCATCCGCGTTCCACAGTGCTGAGTTTTTTACCTCATTGCATCAACTACAGCAGAAATGAAGGGAAAGCATATCTGCCAATTAATTAGCTTTGACTCACCTCAAATGTACGTGACTCCTCCTTCAGCTTTGTGTTTCACCCAGCTACTAGGTACTTTTGGGGTATAAAAGAAGGTGTATAAAAGAAGGTGTTAGAACAAGAGTCTCCCCTTTTCCCCTTTCTTCAATAGTTAGCAAATCAAGCTGTAATTTTTGTAGATACACTTAATATTAAAATCAGTTTTCTGAATAATAAACAGGGAAACAAGGCAGGAACCAAGGTTTCAGGTCTTTCCTGTAGCAACTTTACCTTTAGTAGGAGCACATGAGAAATAATGTATTATTCTAAATTCAGTTGTGTTGCATTGAACTTCTTACACTTAATTAGGAAAGGACTACAAGGCTCATATGGCGAAAACACAAGATTCTTTAGAATTTATGGAGAATCTTTACTGGAATATTGCACTGAGTCATTTTACAGTTCAAACCCAAACCTGCTGGGTGACCTAGAGCATATTTAGTGCCAAGTGTGATGTAAAGATCTGTATCAAACACAGTCAATCTTTCCTTCTCATAAGGAAATGCAGAACATGGTCTTCCTGTAATGAGACAGTAAAATGGATACCAACCTTGTGGGCAGGGTAGAAACAGAAATGGAAGAGAAATAGGGAAGAAAATTTTTGAAGTAGAGGGTAAAATGCATAGAGGGCAGAGAAGAAAAGGGGCAAAAAAATAAAGTAAAAATGCCAGAAAGTGCTTTCTACTGTCAAATGAGATTGGAGCAGAAGAGGGAAATAAGAGAATGAAATGGAAATCTGGATATTCCAGCTAATTCAGAACTTTTGTACTAAGTATCTTTATCTTTCAAGACTGGTTGAAGGTCTCTGAATTATTTTAATACAGAATAACTTAATATGAATAAGGTAAGGAAGTAGAAGAATATACTGTATTCATAATACAATTTTATGACTAAGGGATAGGTTGATTTAGTTCAACATTCTTTCTCTTTTTTTTTTTATTTCTCTACATTTCTAAGCTTGGACTTGGCTATGAGCATTTAGGAACAAAACCTGGATTTATGTAGTTCAGGTTATTCTGCAATATGGAATTTGCATATCTTTCTTCCGTGGGCAACTTTTGGAAATCCCACTAGGAAGAAAAGATAGGAAACAAGAAACTGCATGTTTAAAAATGTTAAGACTTCATACTATTCAAATGTCAGCATACCACATCAGCACATTAAAAGTCTGTGTTTCAATAATGCACTAAAAATAATTTCATGTAGATACTATACCACTGGTAGAGTGTTAAAATAGTAACTTTCATGAGGTGTTGCTAATCTTTGTCTTGCCCAAAATACGGGTTTATGAGGCTTTGTCTTACCGATTGTTAGTGCTTATAATTCTAATACACTCTCTCTTCTAGTAACAGGCTGTGTTTGGAGCCTTCACTTGCTGAAGGAATCAGGAAGTTATTTCCTGCTCATTCACTGAATGCTGCCTCTCATATCTTCCCAACTATCCTCTTTAGCACCTGCCAGTTATTGTAGCTACAGCTCATTTATTACACTGTGGGTGTAAAGTCCCAATTTGTTGTGTGGCAACAGTATCTATGGCAGTCACCCACAATGATATTATGGGTCTGTACCTAGAGCTTATCGCTGAAGAACTACTAAGTGTACACTATTCCTTGCTTGTCGAACTAAAATAGCCAAATTGTGAGAAAAATATTACATTGCATGATCTTGACCAGTGGAACTAAACTGCAGAAGTTCAGCATGTTAAAAGGAAAATCAGAGGAGACAAAAATCTCTTCCCTGAACTTGATACTCCTCTCATGCACAAAGGAAAGGATGTTCTTAGGGACTGAAAGATAGTAACATATTCACAAAACACAGGTTTGGTCATAAAGTGGTGTCATTCTAAAGGTCTCCACAATTTTGTCATCCTTTGTCAAATACAAATTCTCTTTTTTTTTTTTTTGTGCTCTAGTAATGCACGTAGTAATTATAGTAATATTATGGTATACATAACTGGGGGCAGGGGTTCTCTATATGCACATTTCCTTTTTTGAGAGCCCTTATACTTCTCTGCAGTTAGCCTGATGTCTGTAGTTGTTGGGGTAACTATATATTAGTTTGAGAGTCAAGGCTGCTAAACCATTGGTCAGTTAAGAGAATAAGCCAATGATCAGTGAACAGGCTCCAATTTATCCAGTAGTTAGCATTTCTTAGGAGTCTGTGTGAGTAATCTAGTAAGTTAGAGCTCTTGAGTAACACCTAACAGAATCATAGAGATCCTCCTGTAACTGTT